TTATGTTTGTCAAAGGGTGTGTAGCTTCAAGACACCAAGGATAATATGTTTTTAAGGTACTTGGTGTATATCTTCAAGACATCGAGGATAATATGTTTTCAATTGTTATAATTAAACCTATTCTTCTATATCTCAATTTATAATTAGAAAATCTCAATTCTATTAAAATTTATCTGAAATAAAGAATAAAATTTATTCTGCATTTTTTAAACTAAATTTTCGAAAACCATCAAATTTTATTTGTTTCCTCGACTTAAGAATTACAGCCGTTTCATTCTCTTGCTGAAAACATCACGGTTGCAAAAAGTACCGGTAAATATTTAAAATATCACTATATGGTTTTAGGTTGTCGCGCACACATCGCGGAAATGTAACCGCGCGGTTGTCTCACGCTCACGCCTTAACGCGAGATAACGCGCTGTAAACCGGGGTCATTGTCTACACGTGGTGCGCGGAAGAGTCGTTCTGATAAATCTCCGCCTTCGTTTACTCAGACACGGCAAATACCGCGCGAGAAATTTCAGGGGCGCATTGTCCCTGCGCTACAACCTCTTTACAATTCACCGGGAAACCAATAACACAATTAACACAATTGAATCAAATTTTGATAATTCAGGACGGGATTATCGTGTCTAAATGTTTGTTCATCGTGATTCAGAGAGAAAGAGAGAGAGAGAGCGAGAAAGGACTGTGTTTAATAATTTAGCATTTTTAAGCATTTGACATGTGTGAAAGATTAAATGTAAAATATTAATAATAACTTATATAATAAGTAAATTGATCAATAAAAAAGTGTGTGTGTTCTATATTTCTTACCAACAATAACATATAAATAGACACGATGCGACCGCAAATTGTCAAAGTTTGATGCGTTACGCTGTGTTAAAGTATTATTGATTCCGTCCATACATACGCGCTTACATCTGTTTTCTAGCGGCTCGGACCGGTTTACGGCGGTTCCGATGCATCGGAAATCGATCGCAAATAATTAAGCTTCGACAGCCGCTTCGGCCGATTTCTGCTTCCTAACGACTAACCCATCAGGATACCGATAATAGGCGAAGATAGGTCGGCGATGACGGCCCCGGGGCTGTTCTGATTACATTATTACCTATTTGTGTTGCTAGTAATCAATCGGTTTAGTAGGTGTGTGTGTGTATGCGTGAATACGTGCATATGTAATCGGTTTATCGTAATTAACATTTCGCGGGCGAACGAATGGAAAATTTCCGAGCTAACGGCCGTGAAATTTGTTCTAATCACTGGCAATTTGGGAAATTGTGCGTTCGTAATCAAGCTTTCAACCGGCCGGCGAATATTGGCCGCGTTGCATCAGACTATGCAAGTTGTAATGACTAGATTCTCTTTTACCCTCTTAAGTTTGATTTTTGATAATTTTTTATTTTTCAACAGTTTTTAGTTTGAGAAAATATCCGAAGAGCTTCTCTTCTCAGTTACGAACGATTTACGCTAAAATTTAGTGTAAATCTTTTAAAACATGGAAGAA